TCCGTTAAACTTCATCATTTCGACGTGGGCCTTTGTTACAGCAGTTCACACCGGCCGGCTAATGATAGAAGTTTATATTTGCTCCTCATTCATTATTCGAGGATGTGGTTCACTAAAATGAAAACTTGCAGTGAGGTATATTACAATTAATGATTGTTTATCGGGTGAATTATTTATTATTATTTTATTTAATAATACCTATTTGTTTTATGTTTAGAATATTTCGTAAAAGGTTATGAGATATCTATATGTAATTTTTTTTCAATAGTGTTTTGTCTTTTTTGTCACGGTTGTTGGTCGTACAATTTAACAGAGCCGTTTTGTGTTAATTATATATGCGTCTTGAACCAACGACACAAGTTATTTTGACAACTCATAAGTATGATTATTTGGATTGTTTTGGGTATGCTTATAATTTTTCTTTCTACTATTTTGAGCCTAACGGTTCCGAACAACTCTTTATTCTTTAAATATTTATTTAAGCGGCGACGCCGATTGTAAAATAATAAACTTGACTGATATAATTTATCTTTGATGAGGATTATATGTTGAAAAATATTTCATAAATATGATGTTTTATTTTTTTTATTTTTTTTTTATTGGTTGCGGTTGTGTGTTTTTCCGCCATTATTATAGTGTTTGTACGCTCACAGGTATTGCTTTCATGACAGATATTTTTAATAATTGAAAACGATACTCCAGATAAATTTACCACCGCGTTATTGATAACACTATAATATTAACTATTAACCAGTGTTAGAGCCAGGTGGTGATCGTGTGACTCTATCGCCACTGGACGTCAAAGTTTTAATACAACGTAAAAGTGCTTATTATATTTAAAATGTTCGTTTATTTGAGTATACGTCTGTGATCGGCGTATACGACAATAGTTACTTGTTGGTTTTTAAGCGGAATATATTTTTACTTCTGAGATCACACTTAAATATAGTGGCTAGTGACAAGAGTAGTCTTAACGTATTAAATATCAGAATATTATTAATATTTTATGATACTGACATTTGACACTGCTGTTATAATAACCGTGACTATGACAAAGAAACTATAGTTTGATTTTCCGTAGTCCATTTAAAAATAAATACGGTGACTATTATAACTGGATATTTAAAAATGAGATTTTCGCATCTTCTAGTTCAACGGCCAATTTTAAATACATTATAGATACATTTTTTTACTAGTAAAAAAAAATAATACGAAAATATTATACTTTGAACAGCGTTCGTGTTTTTAAAATGTAAATAATATTTTATACCTAGGAGCCTATAATAGTATTATCTACCTAAGTATTTTATGCGTTACTAAGAAGAAACACGCTGTACCTATAGGCATGCAATATACGCATATTATACCATAAAATTGTTATTACTTATTACCTATTTATTAGTATTCTTATTTCTTTGTTTAATTTTTAAATATTACAGTCTTACAGGTATTACAGTCTATGATGACATATTTTATATTGCGACACATATTTTTACTATTTTAGTAAACTCGGTATTTCCCAATTTTTCAAATACATTTATCTATTTTTGATTTGATTTTTCTTGGCAAAATATTAAATTAAAACTATAAAAAAAACAGTAGAATGTGCATTTATAGAAAATAATATTAAAATACTCAAAAAATAAACTGAATTTTTTAAAATTTGAAATCCAGACTTCAAAAACTACACTTGTATTGAATCAAATTGCATTGTTTTCTTTTCAAACGCTCTCACATAACGGAATAAAATAACCAGAAATCATGGAATTTTTAATCCGCTTAGTGTGTGAGATACATTATTCCCCCATACTAATATAGTTTAGTCCACCCTTTTGTAAAAGCGCTCGAGAATACGAGAAAATGATTTCATTTAAAAATAGGTACCGACACAATTGTCATATTATATAGATCGCTTCTGTATAATGAATAATATATCAAAATAAAGGATAACTGCTAATATGTGAGTGTGCTTATACTTAATAGTGTGAGGGAAGAAATAAAGCGTTTGCGACTGTTTGTTTTTCATCAAGCAAAAAGTGAAAGTTTCTTACAATCGATATCAGAATAATTAATAATTGTCGGAGGTTTTCTTTTTTAGTACATTTATATGATTCGTATCGTATTGTTATATTATTATAATGACCTTAATTTTGCAGCCGACTTCGTCTGAAGGTGTGTGTGTGAATATCGGTGAAGGTTCGTCGGTGGTAGTTGATCAATAAATAAAAATATATACATTTCTTAATTACCTATACTTTTTAATTTAATAATAAAAAACTACAATGATAAAATCAGGTATTATGTTATTATGCATGCTATGGTAGAAAAAAAAAACGTTATTATTATTTTTCGAGCAGTCGTCCGTTATTATATGTTTTTCGTAATATTTCTTGGTATTCCATACACGTCTTGTTGATTTACTCGAATGCCACTTTACTATATATTCGCGTCTTCGAGGATATACTATTATTTATGAATAAAAACCTACGTATCCCCACGATTTAACGGTATATTATAAACTATATATTATAAGCGTATTTCCATATTTGTTAATAGTGTACAAGACAGGAGGGGAAGTGCTCGTGCGAGATAAATGTTTTGAAAGCTGTTTTAAATTATTGTTTACGCTGTGGTAATGAACTATAGTGTGCTGCAGGTGCACTCATATTATGTGCAGGCGAACTCTAGAGTTTTGAAGATCGAAAACAAAATTGATTTACCACGTTATACGTTTTTGAGTGTAGTCGCATAGTATATAGTTACTGAAGTGTGTATATACGGAAAGGGAGTGAGTGTAGACAAATCGATATTTCGTTTTGTCCGATGCCAATAATATTATAATATACAAAACAATATATTATATTATCCGCCTGATAGACGACCACGAAAACTCTAATCTACTCGCCCGAGTTAAAGCCCGACACAACTATTCGTACTCAAATTTGGCGGATAATATACGTTTGGACTTGTGATGAAGGCGGTGACATTGATTGTATATTATACTATGTACAATCAATGGTAGTAGGTGGTACCAGTGGCGTATACATAACTTTTGTATGGGGGGGGGATCAGTTGCAAACAAATTATTATGGAACGAAAATACCTAAACCTAGGTATGTGCTCATTTAAATACCTAATAAATGATAAAACATATATATATTCAATACATTTTATTTTAAATTCTACAAGTAATTATAGAACAAAATTTAATTTTCTTTTTTTTTTAGTCAATAATATTTATTATTTAAGCAATTTTTAGCTTTCAATGAAAAAATTACTGATAGCTATTAGCTAGTATGTTGTAGGTATATCCATGTTAGTTGATAATATACAAAATTGATAATGTTTTGGTATAAATGCGTAAAAACCATCGTGCAATAACCTTATATTATACCATAATAATATTTCTTTTTCTAATGCATAGGAAAATGTATTATTATATCGTCTCCACCGCGTTGATATCGGTGACGGTGGCGACGGCCCGTGGCTGGTCTTCCACATATTATTATTCTTATAATAATTTATTATACTTGTATATATAATATACATATTATCAAATATCACATAATACGGTTATACGATTATATGTAAATTATTTTTAATTAATTATTGAATATTGTTTTAAAATAAAAATGTACAAAAAATCCTTGCCATTTTTTGGCCTTGTAATTTCCTTACATTAAGTCATTAAGAACACTATTTTATAAAATTTAAAAAAAGGCCTATGGGGGGGGATCTGACCCCCACATCCCCCCCCTTGTATACGCCCCTGGGTGGTACCATAATGTTACAACGCCGTCGATAAGAATGTATATTAATTCCATTCTCGACGACAATATTATTCTAATGACAACAAATTTATTTGAAATCAATACGTCTATGATATATTGTTATAAAATGATAAAAGAAGTTTTTTAAATGTGTTATTAATGTGCAGCCGGATTCATTCGGGTACGCTATGAATTAGTTGAATATAGGTAGGTCCTATCTACCTATTATCGCTGTGGATTTGTAGGAAATATATTATAATATTACGCCTAATTAATAATTATAATTAGGTATATTAAGTATATAAGATAACAATAGTTACTCGAACTTTCATACAATATTATTTTACTAATGAAAATGTATATAACTTAATTTATAACTCTATTAGGTAACACAGGCCTATAGTAGGTGATTTAACTAGAAAAAAAAATGTACTGTATTGTTTTTATTTTCGATTACTGCTGGAACTTAAAATAATTGTATTGTTATTTATAAAAATTGCTCCACTATGTGGTTATTAGATTTCGCGAATTTCAATATATATTTTTTTTTACACTCGGACCTGTCTGTATAGTCGCTAATTTGTTGTTCGGCTTATACGTACTTTTATTATTTTACGCATGTGTTTAATAAATGAATCCAATTCTAACATACCAATAACGTTTTATTCGTAAACAATTGCATTATACATATAGATTAATTCGTTAGGTACTTGGATTATACGTCGTTGACTGAAAAGAAAAAACTACTAGTTGATTACTTTACACACAACAGTAAATTTCAGTTCCTATAGTTATGGCGGTAAAAAACAGTTGTCAGTCAATTTCTTTCAGTCTTAAAATCCCGGGAAGTTGTATATTATATAGTGTTATGCTCAGTGATTATGAGCAAGACGGTAAGTTCTCCCCGTTTGTGTAACACGATAAGATAATATAATTCATTTTTTTCTTTCTATTGTGTCTCTATTCAAGGTAAAAAAAAAAATATTATTAATTGTTATCAATTAAACACTTAAAACACTATATTATTTATACAATTTTTTTTTTCTTCCAATATTTTATTTTTATTTTAAAACATTTTCTCATACCAAATATGACGTATTACATTCAAAAACGCAAAGGGGGAGCCTTCGAATTGCTGGGCTCCCTAATTTTTTTATTAACCAAGTCGTAGCAAAATATTACCTTGTACTCTTATAATGTTATAATTATTATTTTTTTTTTGTGGTGCAGTTATAGCCGAGTCATGGGGAAAATGAGTGGGTCGGTGGTGATCAACGTGAAGCGGCCAGTATACCAGATGGATGATCTACACGATGGCAATACGAACGGGGACGTGGACCTAGAGGCCACTGCCAAGCGGAAAAAGGTGTCCAAGCTGAAGTGGTCGGACGTAAAAACGGTGGTGCCGGCAATCGACTGGCTGTTCACCAACTACAACTGGTCCGATGACTTCTTCAAGGACTTCGTGGCCGGCTTTACGGTGGCCGTGCTAAACATACCACAGGGCATGGCGTACGCTATGCTCGGCAACGTAGACCCGACCGTCGGCCTCTACATGGCCATCATGCCCGTCATCGTTTACAGTCTGCTGGGCACGTCCAGACACGTGTCGATGGGATCGTTTTCGGTCGTTTGCTTGATGACCGGCAAGGTGGTGAGCACGTACGCCAAATCCCACTACTTCAACGCCAACATCAACCCGGACTTGACGGACGGTACGGCCGGTACGATGGTTGACCAAGCGGTATCGCTGCAGCCGCACCAAGCGGCCGCCGCGTACACGTCCATCGAGGTGGCCACGGCCGTCACTCTGATGGTCGGCCTCATACAGATACTCATGTACGTGTTTCGGCTGGGCGTCGTGTGCACGATACTGTCCGAGACGCTGGTCAGCGGGTTCACGGCCGGCGCGGCTGTCCACGTGGTCACTTCCCAGATGAAGGAGCTGCTGGGCGTCAAGATCGATAACCACAACGGACTGTTCCAGATCGTGCTTACCTACTACGATATCGGCAACCGGATCCGGGACGTCAACTTCGCCACGACCACGGTATCCATCGTCACCGTCGTCCTGCTGCTGTCCTACAATACGCACCTGAAAGCCTTCATCAACAAGCGCCTGTTCATGCCCGTGCCCATCGAGCTCATCACAATCGTCATCGGGACGGCGCTTTTCCAGTTCACCACGTTCTCGGAGGACTATCAAATCAAACTGGTGAGTGTAACCACTGTTATGGTATCGCTTGGCTTTCCGCGATAGGGTTTGGGGACATAATATATCGGCTTGGACCCGGAGCGTGAAATCACTTAGGGCGCCGAAACTTGTTTAATTTGCCCGACAAGGAATGGCCGAGAGTGCAGGTAGTAAGGGCCGGAAGACGAATAATAAAATTGGGGATGGGACATCAATATTAACGAACACAATTATTTAATATAAAGTGGGATGTATAATAGGGTATACTATACCTATAGATACTATTACAAGACTAGTAGATATTTTAAGTGACTATTTTAACATAAATATGTTTTTGGTCTGCAGGATAGGTTACATGTTTTTGTTTGACCGATTTTTCGTTACCTAGGGTTTCGTTGTCATGGTTACACTATATTATTAACAAAAACATATTTAGCATGCGATGTTTAACGCTTTATGTCGTATGCTTTAAATTTGTTGTTCAAATATTTCCGATTTTCTAATAGTTTTCTAGAAAATCGTGTTCAACCTTGGCGATTGAATACCAAACCACTTTATAAGTATAATTTTTGCCATCGTCAAATCGATGAAATCCAATAATAATAATAATATTCCACTGCCCACTGTCCTGCAGCGTCTGGCGAACAAAGCGAAAACCACAGAAGTTTATTTGATTTTGCTAGTTCTGACGTGGCAACAAGCCAATGCACTATATTGTGCGTAGGAACATAGACGATATAGATAATTTAATAATAAGACACATGACAGGAATAGAAAATATACGATTGCGTAACTCGTAGATAAAATACTCTTCTATAGGTTGCATTTAAACTCAAGTCGATACGGGGAGGGACCCAACCCCCCACGAGCGCATAATATATACGGCAACGCTTCCATTGTCGCGCACATAATATATTATATAATATGCATTATACATTCGATAAATGTATAGTTTGTTTCGGATTGAATAAACACTCTCTATATAAGTGTGGCTCTACAATAGCGTCGTGTACATTTTTTTTGTATCACGACGCAAAATACTATAAGTATGTTTGACATAGACCACCGCCTAAATGTTATTATACACAGAACCGTGGGTGCTTCACCACCACCATTCACCATTTTTATATTGTGTAAAGTGTGTACAATAAAGCAGGTCTTATGCTCGTGTGGCTTACTTGTATACTATTAATATATATTACAAGCAACAAATTTAATTAAATCGATAAGCTTAATATTTATTTTGCAATTCAAATAATATATTTCATAACTGTTAATATTGTATTAGATAGGTGTATTAATATACTGCTTTACTCAAACATGGTATATCTATGGTTACTCGGCGCTGTGTATACTCAGTTAGGCCATACGCTGTAACTACCTATGAATTACACGATTTTAATTATACATTTTCTGATGAGTATCAACCTGTTTTGTTATCTTTGATTGCCGAGGGGCCACCATCGCAGGTCTTATGACATGCGTGATTGACGTGATTCATGTGCTGCTGTTTTGTCCGAGTCATAATTATTATTATACGATCGGCGGCCATAACATAATCATCAGTATTCATATTTTTTTTTTTCGTTTATTGTATGTTGGTGTATATAATATATAATAGATACCTATATACTATATACACAGAGTGATCTTTTTAACGTAGGTCATTCATTATTTAATAAAACAGTAATTTTTTTTAACGTATTTTTTTTACATAATAATTTCAAGTAATTACCAAACAACATTTTTTTTAAGTTTTTTCTCATTATACATTTTTTATTTCGATGCAGAGTATTTCAATCTATAAAAATCAAATTTTGGACTGTTATAGTTATTATTAGTTATAGACATTTAAAGTTTAAATGAGCGGTGTAGTGGACCAACATATTGAGGGGTTTCAATAGTTTTAAATAAGTATACTTGTTAGTTGTTATAACTCATAGTAGGTCTACTCGTACAAAATTTAAATTTGATTTTTATACATCCAAGTAAGTTCTTTAAAAAAAATGCGTGTAATAAGGGATTAAAAATACATGTTGTAATTAAAAAAAGTAAAACATTATAAAATGATGATGATGAAAAATAATAAAATATGCGTGTTGCGAGTATGCTTGGATGAATAGACTCCTTTCCGATAGAATATTAGGTTTTAATTAAATTATCAAACTTACTTTTACATTTTACATCATTATATAAGTTATGTGTTTGTATTATCGGTAGGTATACCTATACCATTTATAAATTATGATCTCATTTTTGTTTATTTAAAGTCGTCAGGTCGATAGGGCCATAATCGTACCACCATAATCTATTAATCTATATAGATGTTCACTGAACAAGTGATGGACATGGCAACATTATTTTTTTTTTATTTACAAAAACAAACCATATAAATATGTGTATCATGATGGTTGACTGTGACGTTTTTTTTCGTACCCTGTGTAAAAATATATTTTATTTAAATTAGAAAAAATGTTTTTGAAATAATGAGTGTCTATTACGTTCAATGGATCACTCGGTATACATATTACATCAGACTAGCGGAACAGAGAAAATGGATTAGTGTTGCCGCTTTAGGTTAGGTGCATTAACTTATTCGTACTCTAGAATTGTGACACTATAGGTTTCGGTATTACAAGTACCTACTTGAAAGCGCCCTCTCAGGACTATTATTATTATTACTATTATTATTATAAGTCTTGTAAACGTGTCGTCGTGTCGAATATAGTTTGTTGTCATAGTTTTTTTTCTTCTTTTTATCTCAAAGTGGCTTGCGTACCTACTCTATAGTCAATATTGTGAATTAATCAGTGAATTGTGCCGTGGATTAATTATTATTATTATTATAATGACATTTTGCTATAGTTTTCCGTATTTATTAATTATTGTACACTCAGACGAAAACTTCACTTCGTTCTAATGATATTACTAGATAATAATATGACAGTATAAATTCTGAAATATATTATGAATTCACGCGATATTTAAATAATTCATTAAATATACGTTTAGTTTTATGATATTCATTTTAACTAAATAGTATATTATTAATGTTTGTATTTTAAATCAGCCATTTACTTCAAATAAATAACGATTTACTAGCTACAAGACAGACTACACTCCATTATTTTTAGGATATTTTATCTTTATTAAATTAACCGACAATTTGTCTTAACATTTAAGTATCAATTGTTAATATGATATAACATAACAATTTAACCTTGTGTCGTAATGCTGCATATATACAGCATTGTATTAGTAATGCATGGTTTTATTTTCTTTACGCTAGCTCCCGAGATATCAGTTTTATTAAGTTTTTTTTCCGCTCGTGAAGTCGTGACGATAAATGTGTGATTTTTATGGTGGCACTATTACGAAATATTTGTAAATCTTTAAGAGTTTAAAATCAAAACGAATAGAATATCACCGGAAACTATAATTACTTTTATTATAATATTGTCATTATTATTATTATTATTGTACACTCCTAGATGATATAGATTTATTATTGTTAATATGTTGAAAATATTGTTTTATTTACTATAATTAATTAATTCAATCTACTTCTAGTATATTATTCATATACCTACCTACACTGAAATAAACGCTTATAATATCTACATTATTCTATTCCTACAACAATAGCCAATAATCATCGCTGGGTACATTATAATTTAAATGTTAACACGTCAAATTCAATTAGAATAATAATATATTAATATGTTAATTGGCACGTTTATTTCCATCTTACCTTCTCTAACTCATACACTCATTCATTCGCTGGTACATCAGTCGTTACAGCTTTTATTAACGAGGCCTCGATAAACTTCAGCCTTGGTGATGTGATGTCTTTATTATTGAACGGGTTTGTAGTTTGTACACCTATTATAGAATTTAACCAACTTTATTTACCAACTAATACTTAAATTGACTTGATACCAATTATCTATACTAAAATATACGCTTTGTTTGCCACGTCTTCTTCCTGGGTGCCCGTCCTGCACTCGCACATCTTTCCAAATTCGCCCAACACGCTGACTCTTACTTGGTTCCTTACCGGTGCCTGCACGAGGGTAACATTTAAACTACTTCCTACGACCTAAGTTCCATAATTATCATAATGATACTGTCACCATATAGCTATATTATATATTTATATGTTGCAGTATATACTTATACTATCTAAAAACATAATTAATACTCAAGCACAAACGCGTGTGCTTTACTTCAGGACAATTAGGTATGACAAACGCGTTTACCAACTAACCGTGGTTACCAGTGGGCTAGATATACGCGTGTATTGTATTCCGATTTGTACTTAAACAAAATACGTATTACTTCAAACCAGTTTAAGCAGATGGATAGGATGTATAACCTGCACGAAACCTAACACCGAATTACCGGCAGTTATATTTAATATTATTATTGTCTATCCCTATATATATAGGACAGATTTAATTCTTTTACATATTATAGGTAGTTGACAATACTATCACTAACAATGTACCGACGATTTTTGTTGCAGATAGGTGAGATCGAGAGAGGGTTACCCGACTTCAAACCGCCGCCGGTGAACTTGCTGATGAGCGTGATCGACGAGAGCGTGATCATCGCGATCGTCGCGTACTCGATCACCATGTCGATGGCGCTGCTGTTCTCGGAGAAGCTCAAGTACACGATCGACACGAACCAAGAGCTGCTGGCCCAGGGCGTCGGCAACGTGTTCGGTTCGTTCTTCTCGTGCCTGCCGTTCGCCGCGTCCCTGTCGCGCAGCGCCACCCAGCAGACGGTCGGCGGCCGCACCCAGATGGCCAGCATCGTGTCGGCCGGCCTGCTGGTGGCCGTCGTCTTGTGGATCGGCCACCTGTTCCAGCCGCTGCCCAGGTGCGTGCTGGCCAGCATCACGATCGTGGCCCTCAAGGACATACTGCTGCAGGTGCGGGACGTGGTGCGCGTGTGGCGGACGTCCAAGGCGGACGCGGCCATCTGGATCGCGACGTACGGCACCGTGGTGCTGGTCGAGATCGACGTCGGGCTGCTGGCCGGCGTGATCGTGTCGCTGTTCTTCGTGTTCAGCCAGGGCATCGGGACCGGCGTCGTGGTGCTGGGCCGGATACCCGACACCGACCTGTACGTGGACATGGACAGGTACCGGCGGGCGGTCGAGGTGCCCCGCGTCCGGATCGTCCACTACTCCGGCAGCCTGAACGTGACCAACCGGAACGTGTTCCGGGAGAAGGTGCACGCCGTGCTGTCCCGGTACGACGGGCAGCTGGCCCCCATCACCATATCGATAAACAGCGGCAAGGAGACGGTGGTCCGAGCCCAGTGCATCGTGTTCGACCTGTCCGGTATGCATTACGTGGACAGCCCGGGGCTCACCATGTTCACGCGGTTGGTCGACCAGCTCAACGAGGCCGGCCTGCTTGTGTACGTGGCCGCCGTGTCGGGCAACGTGTACGACTGCATGCGCGCCCAGCAACTCGGCTCGGTGCAGTTCTTCCCGTCCGTCCACGACGCCGTCGTATATTACAACAACCTGGAAGAGTTGAGAGCTTGATCGAGAGCCCGTCGAAAGCGCGCTCGCCCCGAAAAAAAAAATCGTTTCTATTTCCGGTCTGTCTATTATTATATATTATATTACAATTATACATTCGTGTCTTCTTGAAAATTCGTTCGGCGTGGCGTTTCACCGATGGAAAAATTAAAATACAAATTTCCAATCGATCGTATTCGTTGGCGAGAATAAAATATAATAATAATATTATCTAAAAATCGTTTCTCGATTAGCATAAACCAAGCAAGTCCGACAAAATAATATAATAAACATCACTCTATTTATATACTATTGTAATAACATGCAATCGATTCGGTCGGGATTCGAGCGCAGTTTTATTCTATAGATTTCTTTCGTTTCCCGACTTAGTATGGCGTCGTACGAACCCGTCGGACAAAATGTCGGATAAACGCTAAGTAGTTCCTATGGTATATAGCGAGATTTAATAATGATTGTAGCTTCATCTTTACAACGTCATCTTATAAACGAATAACTTGATGCAAATACAAAGTTGAGACGTGCCGGCTGATCGGTTAAGGACGGTATAATTATATCGTGTATTATAAATTAATATTAATATATTATAACAGTTATTGTGCGATCGATTCGCGGTCCATGTACATAATATAGTAAAACGGTGATCTCCAGAGAAAATTAGGCATTTGTACATAATATATTATATTATTTATGTATATTATAATAACACGTCGTCAAGGTTTAAACCTTTCGATACGACCAGATCGACGCCAAACGTGACACTAAATTGTCACAATAATATTATTATCGTTTTGGTTCGACACTGTCCGATGGATTTTTTAGTCAACATTTCATTACCTCACCTTAATCACTAGTAACTAAATGTAATATAATATGAGGGTAGTTTCGAGGTATCATTTTTGTTTTTTGTTTTCGGACTGCAGGGCGAATTTAATTTGTTTCGTTGTTAATGGAAAAAGGTCTTCGGGCCTTTCCAGTCTTAATCGTTTTCTAATACTTATAAACGTTGTAAATTTCCTCCAAGAGAAACCAATTTACCGCAAAATACTATCAAAGTTTTAACGTCCTCGGCGCGTTGTTTCCGTGGCATAAGAACTTTTTTAATAAAAAGAAATGTAGCGAGGACGTGAGGTATACACGATAAAACAATATAATAATATAATAGTCATAATAATAATAATAATAATAATTGATATTAATTACTACGGTCAAATAATTTTATCTTTTTTTTATTCACATCGCCTAAGTCCCGATAATCAATCAATATATGCGGTCTTCAACACGTATCTATATATACACGCATTGGTCGTTTAATAAACAGTTAATTACCGTTTCGGTGCTATTACATATATTATATTTCACGTTGGTTGCATATTTCATGGAATTTTTTGTTATTGACTATGTTATATTATTATATAGGCATTGTGAAACATTCGTAAAAAATCACTAATCATCTCCTCGACGATAAACCGCGGGCTACCCCAGCGTGATGTAGTATAATTGTGTACACCTCTGCAGCTGTGTATTATACCTACTGCTGCACGTGTAACACTTTGCTGTATATTTGTAATAAATGTGTTGATTTAATCCTGATAAACGATGATGGTGTACCATTACTCATTCTCGGCGAGTTGTCGTGAAACCTATATTAATTGGAAATCGATCGGTTGTTAAAAACCGCGGGTTTGCGATTAACGGATTTCTCTATATAATATTATAATACAGCGCGGTTGATTTTTTAACACCATCTCTACACACGAACGGTCTTAACGCCTTTTTCGAAATAATCGATCAAAAAGAGACCCGATGTGTTGTTAAAAAAAAAAAAAATGTAAAACATTTAAAAATAATACAGTTACACCGAAATCTATACACCTAAAATATATAATAATTACTACCAGAAATAGTATTGGCCGCGATAGTAAATTTAGATAGAATTAATTTTTTTGTGGGAAAACTTTATTATAACCGTTATAATTTAGTTCTTGCGTGATATATAATATAAAAATATAAAAATTGTTAATTTTATTTTTGATGAAAACCTTATCTATGAATAATAATTATTGAACATTTTCTTAAATAGTACAACTAACCCAATTATGTATACATCATAATATGTAAGAACATACATAATATACTGCATAAATTGTTTAATATTGTTATTTTGATGCTCGATCGAAACAAAATAATATTTGTTGCCGTTTCGCCAAAGTACCACACGCTTTTTCAATAACAATATTGTTTTTGTTTTCATCCACTCTAAATTATTATGTTTTATTCACCAATTTTTTTTTCGACTCATCGTGAAGTTTAGACACAGGTGGAGGACATTGTTTTATTATTCTCGTGTTATTTTATATTATATAGTTATAGGGATGGATACATTTAGAATATTGTACGCAGTTACCAAATTTTTTGCAGGTGATAAGTTGAAGGGGTAAATTTTTTTCCATTTTAACAGTTGTGGTTATGATATTGATTTAAATAGTGATAAGTTATTACGCTGTATATATTATACTTATAATAAACTTTTATACTTCGTTGGTTTTCTAATCATTCCATTGTGATTTAGTATTTATCGTTATTTTTATCGCGTATTTTATAAATGTTACATTATTATTATATTATTATAATAACGATATCGCGTAGATATATTATGCTATTAGAATAATTATTTTTATATTATGTTATAATAATTATTTTTATATTACTTTTCGGTCCGTTTCAACAGGGTTAGGCGCATATTATGGTGGTGCACGTGTATTGTTTTATTACCGCTTTTTAATATTAAATATATTTAGGACGATTAAGGCAGTTTACGTGTGCCGCCGCAACATCATATTACTATTATATTATAATACTGTTGTACATATATTTAACTTTTTTATTTTCCAAAATAGTTTTTAATTATAATAATTATTATATTATGTTGGGGTTAAATGTTGTCTTTTGCCCGACAATATATTATTAGGACTAGTTTTTATTTATATTGTTTTTGAACCGACCAAAGTTACCACCAAAGCGATTTACCAGCGCATTTACGAATTACGCGGAGCGCATGTGTAATGCAATGCATTTTTGTGTAATTAGTTTTCCATATTGTATAATGTATATAAATTGATGTTCAATGTTATTAACGTGTTTGTACGTTACATTTAACGCGCCTGTATCTCTCGACAACAGAATACTCGCATAAAGTCTGTGTTAATAGTATTTCGTCCTAGTCTCTAGATCAAAATTATTGTTTAAATGTTGTATTACCAAATATATTTTGATACTATGTTATTACATATAATATATTATATAATATTATTTCCAATATATAGTGTATTATTGTCGCATAATAAAATATTATTATGTTCAAAAAACGTTGTACTTTTTTTCCACTATCGATTACTGTTATGTATAACCTATATTTAGTCATTAATATAATGCGTAATTATGGACGAGGCGAGGGGTAGCGATTGCCACCCCTTAAATTTAATTATTTTAACTACTGCAGGCTTCATTTATAGACCACGTGCAGTTGAGTTCAAGATATTATATTATTCGAGATGCTTCTTGCTACCCAAGATTTTACTCGAAATGACGGTCCTGCTATATAATATACAATACTATTCGTCTTGATGAATACTTATGTTTGATGTTTTGTCTATGTACTTTATACCTATACACAAATACAAAATACATAACATCAATTTTTAACTATCTCCTTTGAACGTCATATTATTATCTACACTTGGTCACTTTGCACAATTTTCAGTAATATATTGTGTTATTTCCGTTAAGCAATAATAAATAGTTATTATGATTTCGTCAGAGTACGCTGTAAGTTTCTGCAGTATACCTACAATACTACTCCGGATTGCTAGATATTAGACTGTATTATAGTGCCATATATAGTGCATAAGTTAAATATTCAAATGAAAGTAGTTATAGGTATACTGAATAACTCAGATTATTCTATTGACATAATGATATAAGGTTTGTCTTAGTTACCTTTTTTTATATTAGTAACTGCAAGGATATCTACATAGAACAACTTTTAGTCGTAAGAAAGTATAAGCTACATCAGTCTTATAAGAATGTAAAGTAGATGGTAGTTTTAAAACTACTAACCTATGAGTTGAAAAAAATACAACTAGTTAAAGAAATTCAAACAAAACTAAATATTGCAAGTTTGGAGCTATAGTATTGACAACTGGTAATGATTCATTATATAATCATACAATATACTCATAGTCGAACCTACAACAAAAAACCATTTATATACAACTTATAACGTAGCACACCACTCGATATTTTTCACTTGGAAGACAATTTATGAATCATAAATATTATGTTTTTGGTAATAAGTAACCATGACAACGAAAACGTTACGCAAAATCGGTTAGAGTCAGAAAATCTGTACCCAGCCAAAAACATATTTATGTTAATATTTTTGAAAAGGATTCACTGAATATAACTTAAATCTTCCGATTCATTAAAAAAATAATTAATAATTTACAGATATATTGTGTCCAACGATAAAGACAACACAAAAACATTTCGTATGACCCTCAGTTTGAGTTTGTATTATATATATTAACATTTTTAAACAATTTTGATTTTTTGAATTTTTCTAAGAAGATGAATCTTTAAAATTGACTTGTTGAGGTCAAGTTTCGGTATACATGTCTGTTGTATTTATCGTTTACCCAATTAGGTTTCTCAAAAAAATTATACCAAATCACTCTGAAATTCGTAAATTTGTAGATACACTGTTAAAAAATACGATAAATGGAAATTCTTACTAACTCTCAATAAATCAATTTTTGAGACAAAAAACTTTAAAAGCCAAAGTTATTTAAAAAAAAAATGTATATAATTAAAATTCAGCCTAAAATAATGGAAGGGGTGCCATTTAAAATAATTTTGTTTTGCTTCATATGTATTGAAAAATAATACAATTTTTCAAAAATAAGTGTAATATTAAGTTCTTTATGCAGTAAAAACCCGAATGAAAT